GCCTGGTGATGTGCTTCTGAAAGATCACAGCCTTGAAAACTCTATGGAGCAGTTCTACTCCACGCTCATGTGATTGCCATGAGTTGGATCAACTTGATGGCAACTAACAACATCAACAGCAAATTCCTATGCCAGCTCATAGTTCAGGCCAGTGTTTTCCTTTGATGTCTTCCATTTCATTTAATTTTGCTGTCATTTTCATTCTCTTATCATAGAAATGGTTAATCTGATCTCAGTCATTTGTATTTTAGTATGAATGTGTTTCAATGCTTGGGTTGCTGTAAGTCTATTCTTCGCAGGAACATATTTTCTGAGTATCAATGCCTTCATCTAGGTACTCAGAAGGTCCTAAAAACAGCATTATTTGACAACAGGATCTGTCAGAATTTGCTTCCTTCCTCTCGCTCAACTTTTCTTCTATTCCAGGTCATAGGTACTCTGAGTACCTTTGTTTCCTAAATCTGTCTGTACATTTGGTACAGGGCATGGAGACAAACCACTCTTTCCTTCATGATAATGTTTGGCTTTTTCTGAGTTGCTTTTATGACCACTTTGAACCTGATGACTAGGGCTGTGGAGTAAGCACTGGAGGGAAAAGGGTAGATTATCTTTCACTAAAATTCTGAGAGTCAGTGATGTTGAGGGTCATTGGAGGTACAGTTTATTTTCAAGCATGAAGTAGTAGGTGTGGAAGAAGTATGAAAATAGCTTTACTGAAGAAGGTTTGAAAGTCATCCTCATGCCTCATTTTTTAAGCCAAACAATAGACAGATTTATACAGGGAACGGTAACACCAGAAAGGTACCCACATCTTGAATAATCAATCATTTGGGATAAAAAAGGCAGCATTTATCCAAGGACAAAGTCTGTGAGGTTTGGGAAAGAAGGGGGAATGGAAACAAGAAACACAGTGAGGAGTGGGATGAGTGATATCACATTGTGGGAATTGAAATCAATGAGATGAAACCAAATGTATATGAATTGCTGAGTGGAAAGTGGATCTGCTCTGTAAAACTTAATCCAATTCAGAATAAATAGTTAGAAAAAAAAAATCACACTTCTACTACGGGAGTTACAGCTTCAATATTATAAATAAAAGGGGGGGGGTAACACAATAACAACAACAAAATAGGTTTTTAATGTCTTTTTCGACTCCTCAGTCACTTATTTCAAAATATTGGTTCTGGAGCCACTAAAATTCCTGCACTTTGATATTCAACCAGTTTTCCTATATTTTGAGAATTAAAAATTTGAGATCTCAGTGTCCCCATAGCCTTGCACCTGGTAACAACCTCTACAAAGTTATTTGTTTCTAAGAGAATTCCTGTTGAATTCAAGAGACCTCCCCTACCTCCCACCCCCCCAGCTAGACAATGATCTTTCTACCTTATTCTTTCATTAAAGAATGGAGATTAGGATCTCTTGTAATAAAGGCCTTTGTTTAGGGAACCTTCTTTATATTCAATTGTAGAAAGACACACATATGGTGTACAACATCCAATCCAGACTGTTTTATCCAATCACAATTTTGAGGGGATATTTATACCAAATTCTTATTAAAAAACCTTAGCTTGTCAAATACCATTCATAATGGAAGCCAATATCTTCTGATTCACTATGAAGAATTGAGATACTTACCATATCTTCATTGTCTTGAAGGTTTTGCTTTGCACACCCAACTGATTACTGTACTTGACACTAATAACCCCAATAAGGTATATAGGTACAGATACTCTGAAAGAATTTTGCCAGCTACCTGTATCCAAAAAGAAAACATACATTCCTTACAGATCTTGATATGTTAATATTTAAAAAATCATAAAAGTATCATAAAATTTCAGGAAAATGAAATATAGAAGGGGAAAATTGCCTAGTATGTTCCCACCCTCATCAACTATGATTACATATATATATATATATACATATGTATATATAA